TAATTTTCCCTTTGGGGCCCCGCCCTGGCCCCAGGGGTTGGGGTAGGAATCCCAATTTTACAATTTTGAAGCCTCATCTACCAAGGATGATTCTGACCAAGTTTGAAAAAAATCCATCCACTGGTTCTTGAGAAGAAGTTGAAAATGTAAAAGTTTACGCACGACGGACGACGACGGACAAAAAGCGATTGGAATAGGTCACTTGAGCAAAGCTCAGGTGACCTAAAAACACAATGGTATAAGAACACATTGGCATATCCTCAAAAACAATGGTATAACAACACATTGGCATATCCTCAAACACAATGGTATAACAACACATTGGCATATCCTAAAACACAATGGTATAACAACACATTGGCATATCCTAAAACACAATGGTATAACAACACATTGGCATATCCTAAAACTAAATGGTATAACAACATATTGGCATACCCTAAAACACAATGGTATAACAACACATTGGCATATCCTAAAACACAGCAACATTATGACATATGAGCATGAGCACATTATTATTGAAGTGCCATAGATAAATGCTACCCTAATAATAAACTCCCTTTTCTCCATATTATTATTGTGATCATTTCTACTTTTAGATGTAGAAATTCACCATCTTATCTTAAGCTGCAATCATACAGTTAAAGCATTGAATTAATAAATGTTCTATTTTTGCATGCTTTGTTTGAACAATGATATATAGAGGATCTTTCTTTTTGTCATATTGAATTTTTTAAACAAGTTTAATAAATTCAAGATGACATGGACATGAATGTAAGATTCTATATGCACATGAATATATGTATCACATAACATTCATAATTAAAAAAAGAAAAACTTCAGACACAATTATGCATTAATATCAGCTGAATCAATCATTCTATAAAGTCAAAACTAAGGTACTCCCATCATAGTATTGGCATTCCACGCAGTGCCAAGTAGTTCCAGGTTTTATTTTAAGTACAGTTTTAAATGCAATGAAAATAATCATGACAAAATAAACAGTTCAAATAAATTTAATAGCAAAAATACTAACATTTATCAGAAAAAAATGCAGGTAAATAAAAGTTCTATCTGTATAGGTAGTAGTGTATGATTATGTTCCTAGTCCTGACCAATCGTAGCAACTTTGGGTTTTATTACATGTGTGTATTACCACAATTATGATATGGCCATATGACAGAGTGATATTGATCAGTTATGAGATAAAATGTACTTTGATGATGATATAATTATAATGTGTTACTACAACTATATATAAACTTTTATCTATTTTACAACAAACAGGAAACAAGTAAGTTCAACTTATATCAATCATATTCTAATTGGCCTAGATGTTGGCGTGCAGGGGGTCTTTAAGTGGGAGGAAACCAGAGTACCAGGAGAAAACCCACGTGGTCGGGCAGGTGACCCCATTTGGTGAAAAGCAAGTTCGCCACCCAGCCACTTACTACAACTTACCCATGTAGAATATATTTGGAGCCACCCAGCCACCATATGGAAGTTCCTGTAGGTAGTTAGATGCTTCATGATTGCCTCCAATAAATATAGTAAGCACTGGAGCCACCTTCTCTCCGGAGTAATACCTGGTTTAAATTATAAGGAAATGGTTTAACATTTAAATTCATATCTCATGTTTATGGTCAATGAACTTAATTCACATGATAACATGTTAAACAACAAAAGATTTATGTAAATAAATGAAATTTTCTAAAAAAAAAAATCAAAACGAATTCACATATTCCAACTGTACAAGTATTCCATCTTTGCGTATTGCAGAGTTATCTTCTCTTATGAGCAGGTATTGATTGTTACATCAATTGGTTGTGAGAGTAACATCATCTTTTTTTGAGAAACGACGTAATTTTCTGACACAAACCAATGACGTAGCAATCAATACCTGCTCACAAGAGAAGATAACTCTGCAATACGCAAAGACGGAATATAGGTAATAGGGACGTTGAATATCATTAAATAATAAACTGATATATAGAAACATTGACTTTTTGTAAATGGATAGTTTTCTATAAATTGTCACATGAAATGTATAGAAGAAAAACTGTGTTCAAGTGTAAAATTCATAAATCAAATTTCTAATATGTACTTATTGTTAAATTTGAAATAGTTTTCTCTTTAATTCTAACTCTAAATTATGAAAATATCGTGAGGAGTGTGTGGCGGTCTTGTGTCTACTATTACTTGTAAAATGTGTTCATCCGTTGGTATTTTTGAGGTACTGCCATACACTGTAGGTCACTCTTGTTCCTTACAGACTGGAAATCTCCACATATTAGCAATAGATCCACTTTGAAGTTTTGTTTCTTTTCAATGAATTCTATTGTCTCATAAATCTTGTCCAATTCACCATGACAACAACCTTCTACAGCAATCTTCATCCTAAACATGACGAAAATGAAAGATGTTGGTAATTTACCATAAAGGGAGGTAATCTGTTTATAGTCTCCCCTTGGCATGGTGGCAAAATCACAGGATTTTTTTTTAGTGATCAAAAACAACAAATTGGTAACGCCTCATTAATCACTGCATGGTGACAACTGACAAGATTAAACATATAATGCTCAGTTTGAATCATGTTTACCTCTGAGTTCAGATAATCCCAATCTAGTCCACTGCATTCCCCTTAAATACTGTTTCAGATTTTAATGACAAAGAGTAACCAGAGTTTAAATGTTTGCAGCATATTGGAAAACTTCTACATTGAAAATTCACACAATTTCATAGAGCAAGAATTTCATACTTTAATTTTGACAGCTAGATCTTAACAAGCTGGAATTCTATAATTATAAGTACTCTGGAATAATGTATTTTGTGCACAGCCGCTGACCATCATGATCAGACATATGCATGACATTATAGATCTTGAACTCCTGATGCCAAAAAAAATTTAACTGCATATCTCAGACATAAGGCTTCAACTTTAAGGCAATACCCGCCATCACTTAAAACCAATTCACAAGTAAATATCATATGGAATAATGATAGCATTTACAGGATCAGTGTAAATGTAACCTCAGTCCAATCATATCTTTTCTGCCATAGCAACAATGTTGCATGTGTCCGAAAGCATATCATCTAGTCACAAACACTTCTGTTCGCAGGCGACAAACCAATCATATTTATATCAATGAAATAATAATAACATATACTAATAGAATCCATCCCCGATTCAAATCCAAGGGATAAAATATTGAGCAGGAGACCGGAGGCTTTGCCGAGGGTCTTTTGCTCAATATTTTATCCCAAGGGTCTAAATAACCTTATCCTTAATTCACATCAGGGATGGATTCTATTTCTTACTTATTACCTAAAACCCGTAAAAACAGCTGCTCTTCTAGTAAAGTTGTAAAATGTCTGCACATTTCTCATTTGCATATGAAGCCTGGATGTCAATTGTTAGCGATGTCAATAACCCTGACTGACCCCAAAACGGCATAAAATGACGTCACAAACTATAGCGTGATCCCGAAAGGTCACTATAATTCCCTCCGCCAGTCTGCGCTTGTAAGTGATCTAGACCTGTCACGTGGGTCGGATAGACTTTTCTAGCACCGCCTGAAATGCGGATATCTCGGTCCAGTATGCAAGAATATATGATCCATCTTCATTAGCCAAGTATTCGTTTCGTATACACTCCACAGCGAAGATGGACTTTGGTATGTTCCCGCCTGGGGACAGAAACCATTGCCATCCTCAACAATAAAGCTAAACGTGAGGTATTGCCAAGCAAGGCACGAGGTAAATAAAAGATAGTTGGAAGCAGAAAAAAATATCAAGATCCTGAATGTTGAATTAGGTGTAGCAGACTTATTTTGGTCACTTTTGTCCTCGAGTAGAGGGCACGAAATGAGCAAATCCACAATTCTGCAGGGGCTTCAACATTAGTTGCCTCTTACAATACATGCAGTGAGTAACAGCAGGTGTATTCTTTTTTCGATCCCCCACCTGCAGGAGTGCGGTAGAATGGAAGACTAGTACACTAGAGGTCCTTGGTTCAACTTCTTGTGGAGGCATTAGGAAAATAATGACCTCTAGATCTGTTACATTGTACAGCCATCGATCTAAAACTTTTAAGATGTAGTCAAATAAGAAAAATGTTACTAAGGCATGTTATTTTATAGACACCTTTTGGGACAAATCCTTCTTGTAAATTTGTGATATTTTTGGACTGACGAAAAAAAAGAAAATGATGAAATTTTCGTGAAAACTATTAAATAAAGGTAAGAAATGATTGTTGTCAATTTTTTTCAGTGCAGTGGCTGCAATAAATACAAAAAAACCTGTTCATCTGTGTATGGAAAGCATATGGACATGCTCTAGTAAAAAGGAAAACATTAGTTGAACTGCGCTTCAAACTCAAAACTTTAAAGACATACTCTATAGAGGATGCTATGAGACTATGTCTGTTCAACCAAAACAAGATTAACAGGATATTATTATATATCTTAATAGGTCAAGAACAGACAGCACTTCGACTAACATTTCAGCTATTTGTTTGATATTTGTGTCCTGTTGCTGATTTCATATCTTATCATTCTTCAGCAGTCCTTGTTGTTACAAATGTAGCGGAACTGGACTGGGTCGATCAACGGCGACCAGACAGCTTAATTGATAGAGCATCCGTTTAGAGTTTGGAGGGTCCCGGGTTCGAACACGGTATGGCCGTGCATTTTTCCTCTACTGTTACATTTGGTGCCCAACGAAATGTACCCACATGAGGTGGTATAGGGTCTTGTGTGTCTTCGGGGTCGAAGACTTTGTTAAAGGAGGGAGGAATGTAGCGAAACTGGACTGGGTCGATCATCGGCGACCAGATAGCTTAATTGATAGAGTTTCCGTCTAGAGTTCGGAGGGTCCCGGGTTCAAACCCGGTCTGGCTGTGCATTTTTTCTTCTCCTGTTACACAAATTTACTGAATATCCATTTTTTTTAATACCGAAGCTGACCGAAAAGTCTGTAATCCAGGAATGACATAATGTCCATGTTGGTGATTTGATGTTTGTGTTTCAAGGCACAGGTTTTGTAGGACGTGGAACAGTGATAATGATATTGGCGTTGATGGGAGATATTGGCGTTGATGTAGAAGTAGAAGAAGTAGAAGCTTGATGCTCTACTGCTGAGCTAAAGGGAAATTCCCTACAATGTACATATTTTACACTATTTCCCCCTTTTTTCAAACACCAGCACAGGTTTACTTGACTCAATGTTTCAATGTGTGTGCATATATATATTAATGTTTGCAAGTCTTTAAACCTTTTTATCCATGAAAATATTAAATTTAAAAATAATTTTTAATGAACCATACTGTACGCATAAACGACTTAGCCGGCTGGCACAGCATGCTAACACTAACAGCAACAGAGGCGCCTGCATAATGTGTACATTGAATTCACGTTCATATAAAATGAAATAATCCTATACCAATATTTAGAATTAACACTTTTCTTTTTGCTTACGTGATTTAAATAAAATTGGGATTTATTTTCACATGGGCTTGGAAATAATGAAGAAATATCCTCCTTCGATGAATGTTCAAATTTGCCTGGCTTTATACCGGAAGTATAAACCGACTTTCGGCAATCTGTGTTTGTAGATTTGTAAACTTATACTATATATTTGAAAAGAAAATAACCAATTTTGGTGATTTTTTATCAACATTTTATTAGATTGGTGTAATATATTCAATTAAAAATAGATCAATTACAATAGAGACATGTCGTAAAGTAAAAAAGTCTGAACGACATTCACCACTTCCGGTAAAAGCAAGAAGGAGAAAATGATTCAAACTGCAATGGTAAACAATGAATGTGTCCTTTGTTTACTTTCGTTATATGACCAAATAATTGTTATTTTACCAAATGGGCAAGTTGTCGACGATCATGATTACCAAAGATTAAACTGTCGTCGCTGCCAGGCCTCAGTGTAATCCTAGACCGAAACAACCGAGCTCCGAAACGTTTGCTCCCTTCTACTTCTAGCTACTCCACCCATTGTCAGAGGTTTAACACGTCGAGAACATTTTGACAAGACCATCAACACGTCCTCTCAAGTCAGAAACTAGATTTCATGTTTTCAAGAGTTAATTATATGTTTTCAAGCCATTTTGCACAGCACCTTCTGTAGTCCAGAAGTAAATATTGCACAGCACTAATACAATCTATTACCTATGTCACTCTGTTAGATAACTAGCCGCTTCCTACCAACTCAGCGAGGGAAATTTTCTCTTATGATCATTCAGTAGAGCGTATGGCTATATATATAGCTAGTAAGCCAGAGGCCCTGGGTTTGACTCCCAGAGGCATTGAAAAAATAATGACCTCTGTTACACCTGTATCTGAGTGAAATAAGGTTATCTCAGTAAATAGCTAAGATACTGTAACATAATCCTGGTGGGAATGTTATAGCATTTTAATAATTCAGCCAGAGACTTGAGATAACCCGAACCCGCTCAATTTCATTAAAATCTTCAACTCTCCCGTCCGGAGCCTCATCTAAATATCTAACAACTTCAAACAAATACACATAATGACAAAGCAGTATATTTCCAATGTGGAATGTCAATTTCGAGCATTATTCATATTGATGCTGGAACATTCTGCAAAATGTCACAGATTAATGCAAGATAGATTGGACGAGATAGAAAAACACAGCATTGAGTATCATGTGGGATATCCCCGAGAGAAAATCTGTCTCTTGAACGTCAAAATGTGTCTGGATTGTCCTTTCAGTTGTTATTATCTTCTTATTCTTCGTTGGACACTGAAATACCCCCAAGACTTGTCTACTAGTTCAGCAACATCCAGCAGGGTCAGTAGCTGGATGGGTGCCTGCCCTCTAATATTTATATTACAAAAGATTTGTGAGAAAGAGTGCTTTTAAAATACATGAGATGAAGATAATGCCTTCAATTTTCTTTATCAGGAAGTGGACGACACAGTGGGATGTGTTGAGTGCCTGCTGAGTGGAGAACAGGAGAGATGGATGAGCTCCATCGTGTATGTACAACACTGTTTATTATCATTTAACCAATGAAGCATAAGAAATTAACAATCATGAAGGGAATATATTAGGAGGCGCGGTAGTCTAGTGGTAGGACACCCCCGGGCTCGTGACCTAAGGGCTGCAGGTTCTAGGCACAGCACTGTGTTGTATCCTAAAGCAAGATTCTTCACTCCACTTGTTCCAGTCTACTCAGCTGTAAATGAGTATGTGGTTGGGCAGTGCTAGAATTGTAGAATGCTAGCTGTGAGCGCCGAAATGGCAGCACCGGCTGTATGCTACCTAGGGAGCTGAAAACGATATTGGCTGGTTGCAAAGGCCCTATAACCCAAGGAAATAATTTGGGAACTGCTTTGAGATTTACAAACAAGGTTGTGATAAAGTGGTATATAAGAACCTCATTTTTTTATTGTTATTATTATTAATATCTGTAGACATTAGAAATATCAATATATATATATATATCACTTCTGATGCAGAAAATTGCTGTAGTTTTCCTTGAGAGATTCTTGGATGGATTCAGTTGATATCCTTACTAATAAATATAATAAAAAATAATGGATGTACTCAACACATCAAGAATGGTCTTGTGATCTCCACTTGTGTCTACTTGTCTTCAGGACATATTTCACTGTCATACCTAGCCATAATAGAATATATTAACAAAACATCACAACAAAAATTTGCATTGAAATAATTCATTTTGATGTTTACATTTTCAGATGCTTGAAGAATGGTGTAATTGGGAACAATAAGCAGAAATGTACTGTGATCAATCAAGGTGTCATCCCAAGGTGAAGTTTTGTGAGGAATCCTGGCTGGATACTCAAGAAAAGTCACATTCTGGTTGTTAATATCCACAGAAGCAAGGCACAGGCTAACCCGACCCCCTAAATGCTTATATAGTGTCTCTGTATAAGCATATAGAGGGTGGGGTTAGTCTGTGCCTTGCTCCTGTGTTTATATCTGTCAGATCTAAGTCCCTGTTAACTTAAAAAAATCCTATATTAATTTGTTAGGATCAGCACTCAGTTAAGTTACACTTGCTTGTTAATTGATATTGACTTGATGTGTTTATATCACATAAAAATAAAATAGAATTAGATAATGAAATTCAGAAATTTTGATCATGAACAAGGCGAAAAAGGATTTTGGCTCTTTGCCGAATGAATCAAACCATCGACCACATTGGTATAATTTTAAAGTATTGACGATTAATGTCAGTTTGTGATTATGCAGACTTCTACAGTGGATGATAGATGATGATGCTGAAGTGGGCCTGAGAACAGAGGCGGCCATTGTACTGGGAAGTCTCGCCAAAGGCACGGAGGAAAATATCCAGCATCTAGTGGACTCTGGCTGCGTCACTGTCCTCCTCAAAGGTCACTGCCCCTATTATTTCATCTTTCTTCTGAATAATTATCAGTTCCATGAATGGTGTTACTGGTTTATTTTCTTTGGACAGTTGTAAATGTATTTATTAGTTGTGACTCAGATTGCAAGTAAAACCTACATATTCAACAGGGTCATATGGACAAAGTTTCAGTTTTGTGAAATTTAATGGTAACACTTGATTGACTGAGAAATACATGCAATCCTGTAGATGATATAAAAATATAAAAGATATTTATTGTTGATTCCATGATAAAGTATAGCCACACAAACTTTTTTTTATAAATTTATGTTTATTTGTGCGAAAATCAAAATTTTAACTTGATACTCTATACAAATAGCATATATTTGTAATGAGATTTTACAATGTTATGTTTCAAATAATTGATCATATGTGTAATTATTGGCTTGTTTTCATTTTGACAGGACCATATAACATATTTTTGTAATGTGATTTAACACTGATATGTTTCACATTATCAATCATGTGAATAATTATGAACTGAATGATTTCATTATGACAGGACTGTCAAATAATAACCTGAAGTTTGTAGAGGCTTGCTTAAGATGTCTGCGTACAATATTCCTGTCCAACAACCCACCAGTTCATCATGTGTACCAGGTAACCAAGTATAAGATCTTTAAACAGTTTTATAAATACACATCTAACTATCTATCAACTTTATGGCTAAGATATTCCATTGCATTTCATCAAATTTGATGTACCAGCTTTGGTTTCACATGGTATCTTAACTCATTCACCCCTGAAGACACATTTGAACTCTTCTTATTCAAAGGTTGGAATAGTTCATTATGAAATTTCAGGGGTGAATGAGTTAACTAACAATTCCCCAGCGCCCGGAGCGCACTTCAAACTGATATTTTAGAAACAAATCGTCACTTTCACACACATATCGCACATGGATCGAAAGATCTATTCTTTATGCACTAGGTATATTTCCCGCATATTATAGAGGGCCGGAGTTCTGACGTTAATCGACGACAGACCGATATTAAAAAAGTCGATAAAATGTCAGAATAATTCGGACTAGGCACTGCTCTGTGTTGTATCTTTTAGCAAGATACTTTACTCCGCTTGTTCCAGTCTACTCAGCTGTAAATGAGTACGGTTGGGCAGTGCTAGAATTGTTGAATGCTAGCTGTTAGCGCCGAAATGGAAGCTCCGGCTGTATGCTCCCCAGGGAGTTGAGAAAGATATTGGCTGGTTGCAAAGGCCCTACAACCACGGATAATAATTTGTGAACTGCTTTGAGACGACCTACGAACTAGGTTGTGATAAAGCGGTATATAAGAACCTCAAATTATCATCATTATTAAAATATGAAAATAAAACACTGATCCTTCTACAACATTTCATGCGTATTTAATGCAGGCATGGTCAATCAATCTTTCAAGTCCTCCACCGCTAAACTCTGTCTCAAAAAGGTTGCCATGGAGCCATTAAATGTGTCATAAAACAGGTATTACAGTTTATATTTTGTCACAGTAAGGTTAGCGTGGATGAAGTTGTTTGAGAAACATATTCGTTCAAGGGCTATCAATTAATTATGAAATTTACTGGTCAATCAGGCTATACTAGTAGTTTTCAATATTACTTGTCCATTTGTAAATTCCATTATCCCAATATTTTTCAACATAATGAGCAATATCAAATTTTGATTTAGTCAAGCAGTCTAGCAGCTTTTAAAACCACTAGTCCGGCTGAAGATTTCACTAGTCTAAAACTAACAGGCTACCTTTTATTTTTTATCCCTGCCAGCGGAATGTTTATTGGTATTCCGTCTTTGCGTATTGCAGAGTTATCTTCTCTTATGAGCAGGTATTGATTGTTACGTCACTTGTTTGTGAGAGTAACGTCATCAATTTTTGAGAAACGACGTAATTTTCTCACACCAACCAATGACGTAACAATCAATACCTGCTCACAAGAGAAAATAACTCTGCAATACGCAAAGACGTGAAAAAAAATAAAAAAATGTTACAACCCATTTTACAATAATTTTACAACCATTTTACATTGATGATTTGTGTTGCCTTGTGAATTTGTTGACAGGACGCCACAGTGGTACCGCATCTCATCAACATCATGTCCAAGTCTGTGTGTACACAGGAGTGTATCACCACTATATTTGCCAACTGTTGTCGAGTAAGTTTATAGATACCAAGACTGCCGTAACAGTATCTCATACATCCATATACAAACTGATAAACATTTCAAAAAACCATCATACAACAATATGTTTAGACCAAAAAATGAAGCATCCTGTGCTTTGTAGCAAAACTATATAAATATTAAACTTAATTGAAAGAGTTTATTTATTCCTTTTAAATTCTTTTAACATCTTTTCTCTGTTTTCGTTTCTGTGTAGTGTATAAATGTACCAAAATTTGAAATAAGATTATTTCTTTTGATTTGCTGTTAATTAATTTCCATTTGAAACACATGTATTAACATAATATACTTTTGACATGCATGCATTAATGATTTTACTATATTTGCCTGAAATTATGCATATGTTTTGTGATTTGATTTGCTGTATATGCTACAATATTGTCATACTAAGTCGCATATTTTTCATCATGATGAGAATTAATGTACAGAAAAGATTGCTCGTTATATCAAATTTCAACAATTATATTTGAGAATAAACTCAGGTAGAATAGATTGAATACAAATCACTCATTTGGTATATATGTACCTGATGATGAGTTCTGATGTGTCCCTAATGGCCATACTTTCGATGTTTCAGACAGTGGAACATCAGAACGCACTGTGTAGGAATGGTGCTATACCAGCTATGGCCCCTCTGCTCACTTCCAACGTGTACAAGGTAAGCAATAACATGGAGTTATCAATAGATATGCCAAGTTCAATTCAATTTATTTCCGTAAGTTTTACAACTTATAGGATTTTCAACAAATAATTTCATATAAGTGCAACATATCATTACATATTACTGGCACATTCATCACAAATCAGCAGCAACAACAACATCATCGAAATCATAATTTATCGCTTTCATCATTATCATCATCATCATTATCATCATCATCGTCGTCGTCTTATAACTCATCATCATGAAGTAATCATCTCTTTAAATCAACATCAAATACTACATCCTCATCCTCATCCTCATCTTCATCATCGTCAAAGTACAACAACATGAAATAATTACCATTTTAACATGAATTTCATAAAACTGGTACATTCATCCCAAATCAACGATAATATGAGGTTGTGCTGTATTTCATTCATGGGTATCCTCTGTGGATTAATTATATACTGCTTGTTTAAACCAATGAGAAGTGCTTGTCTTAGATAGTTACTGACATATGCAATCATGCCCAGTAAACCACCTAAGGTGACATTACCCAAATCGGATCATCAAACCATCATTTTTTTAAATCATTGAAAAATCTGAGGAGGAATTATATTCATTTATGGTTGTATCAAAGGAAGAATATCAATGGGTGTTCTTACAAACGAAATTAGCACCCGGGGCTCACTTGAGATATTTATAGAACGCTCTGAAGACACCAATCAGCGTCTCACGTTTTTGCGAATGTCGGGACCCAAAACGGATCAAGGCTTGAACTTTGCAGTATCGTACGCTTCAAATGAGTATTTTTTGTCAGCATATTAACATTTTATGATGACATTTAGAATTTATATGACAAAAAGTATTTCAATTATGTGAATTTATTCCTATTGTCCAAAACAGTGCATAGTCGTCGCACACGCCATTTTTAAAAAACCGTAATCAAAACATTAACATTTAAGTTTGAATTACGTTTTCCTGCGCTATTTGAACTTAAAAACTAATTATCTGTAGACAAAAAATTGGTGCATGGCTATCTATTCTAAGGCTACATCATTGTTATAACTGATTTGTTGACACATTTATTTATTTATAAGTATTTTTGTGAAAAGTGATCCGATTTGGGTACTGATCCGATTTGGGTACTGGTACGATTTGGGTACTGATCCGATTTGGGTACTGACACCTTAGCTTTATTGCAGTGGGTCGGAGCTCCTGGATATATTTTGTAGGGCTGGGAGGATATTACATACTTCAATGATACTTGCATCTGTGTGAGTAATGTCATATGAATGTAGTTAAACTTCATATTCATTAAAACAAATATTTGTAGTGAATTTGTAGAAATTTTTAGGCTTATCCTGAAAATATTTTTCAAAATGTTTAAGTCCCATTACTACGTGATATAGTGGGTTCTCCAGAGAAATTAGATAAGCAATTTATAAATAAGGAAATGTATTCCATCATAGAAAATGTGTTATAAGAAAATATATTTAAAAAAACCAGATTGTATCATGATCATATTAAAGAGGCTTAAGGTATATTGAAGTATACTGTAAAATGCTATAAGTTTATCGTCCCATTTTCTGCCAGTTACCTGATTTTGAGGGGGAAAACAATAATATTTTCACACCAGCATATATATGACTTGTGTTTGTTTTGTACAATGAGGTTAAAGATAAACACAAGTCTGCCCATGCCCGTCATGTCAATGTCTGTGTCCACTGTTATAGGTGTATCTTGTGCATGTAAAATGTGTATCTAGTTATACCTTATTCTGATCACTTGGCTATCTTGATATCCTATGAAGAACACTTGATGCAATTATATGTACATGTACATATGTAGCCTTAAAATATTAATTTTTATTTTCTTAAACAGGTACAGATGCCCACCCTGAAGTGTTTTGCAGTTCTGTGCTATCAAAATGAAGAAGCTGCTAAAGCTACTGCAGCAGGTAAAGGAATCAGACAATTTTATTCTGTTCTGTATATTCCCAGCATGCTGTTTTGTTACACCAAGTAATCATAATGATATATTTTCTTTTTTAATGATTTGGTAATGTACTATAATCATGTCAAATTTAATCTAAAGTAAAAACAAAAATCAAGCAAACTGTGATCAATTTAAATTGGTTTAGTTTAATGTGATGAACAAATTTAAATAATAGTTGTCAATCTATATACTGTATATGTAGATGTGTAACGTATTTATCCTGTAATAAGCCCAGGGAGCCATAACACATAGGCTACATTCGCGGATCCCGGTTGAAACGGAACGTGTGGCGCAGAAATATTCCACGATAAACGAACGCACTTGGACCGTTCTATAAGCAGAGCTAAAACTGCACAGTTTCGGAGAATAAAAAACAATGTATCAAGAATATTATGCCCTTCTTTCATGCGTCCACTTAATTACATAACGTATCTTAAAAACTACATTTGGCTTGACATCGTTTTAGAAAGAAATAACGCAAACTAGCAATAGTCAGCATTTTAGTTTCGGTCAGATACGTCTGGACCCCTCAATCTACACGTGCCAAATTTTCCTGAGGTCAGCCTCGGTCTAGATCTGTGCCTTTCATTTTCTTTACAGGTTCAACCGGATACGTGAATGTACACATAATATCTCACTCTAAGTAGACTGATAGGCTTATAACAGGAAAATGAGATAGTATTTGATAGCATTCTACCAGGCATGGGTTAGTTGCCAGATACGGTAAACAGAACATCAATACAATTTAGAATACTGAACGTTTTTATTAGATTTTTCTTGTTTTCTAATAAGTGTATATGTTGTAGCGGGTATTGTTCGATTGTCCTGGAGTTCCAACTCAGAATGGTGTGAGTTTGTGAACAATTTCGTCTGGGCTGGTCGCCAGTTCGTGTTTGACCGACAGGCCGTTTTTATAGAAACAACTTCATATTACTAAAAATTGGTGATTCAATAATTTCTGATATATTTCATATTAATACCTCTATGATTTTATATAAGGCTGTATATTTCTACTTCATTATATGTATGCACTGTTTACATTTTAGTCCATCTTTCTTGTGTATATTGCACTTTAATATTAAATACTGAATTAAAATATATATATGATCAAGATTGATCCCACTTTCCCTAGCCTCCTACAATGGTGAATCCATATCATCCTTGCTGGTCAAGCTTCTGACCCGTGACAAGACGTCCGAAATGCAGATGGCTGCAGCCAAGTGTTTGACCTATCTGTGTCGAGGGGGAGCTATAACACCACAGAACCCTATCATCATGTTAAAGGTTTGTACTTTTCCAGATGTTAACCCTTTCACCCCTAGGTAACTTTGGTAGACTCTACCATACATTGATTTGGATGAGTCCATTATGGTCTACAGTGGTGAAAGGGTTAAATGAATTTTTACTCCTGATGTTAAAGTTTAGAAATTTCAAATCAGCAGTCTTATGTTTTATGGCAGATTAGTGGTATACAGGGGCCTGTTCATTTATGCGGAACAACTGGTTTGACCGTTTATAAATGAAACAATTTCAGGTATAAATCCTGGCTGACCTGCAAATGTTTATGCATGCCTTGCAAGGCTTTGTCAAGGCTCGCCTGAAAGCAGCATCAGATTACTAGGTCCGGGCTTATTTAATAAATAAACAACGTTAACAGTGGTCCGACCGGTCTGACCGTTTAAACGAAAACGGCCCAGGTTTATATAACACAACCAGCAAAATGTTTATGTGTGATGTTTCGATAAGCATGATATGTATTCTTGTCACCTTTAATTTATTAGTCAAACATTCGGCAAACATCAGACATATGTATCATGCTAGTCAAAATGTCACACATATTTTTTTTATAAATAACTCACTGATTGTTCTAAATTAACCTGTGTTCCATCAATACTTATAAACATGGAGAAAATGTTTAGAATTATGGCAGATCCACTTTTCTAGTCTTCAAAATTGTGGATTTATATAGTCTCTGTATCTTTTCAGTAGTAAAAGACATTTTTGCTGTTTCAATATTTCTTGCGACTCTTTTAGATTCTTATTGCTCTGGTTTAGGCTTGAAACACTTTCCAGCGATTATGTACAAACCTGGCCGAGTTATATCTCACGCGTGTCTCTGTTTTTCTAATACAGACTATGCCTACCCTGATTCGTATGTGTAAGAAAGATCGGACATTGGAGGAGAATGTGGAGGGGGCAGAGACTCTGGCCTTCCTTATTGAGGGCGACGCCCAACTCCAACTGGTGGCATCGGTTTCAGATCACATAATCAAGACGCTGGCCGAATACATTCGGTACACTGATGTCCAACAAATTAATACACGTGCCATGCACAAGAAGGTATTTTGAAGTTGTCTGTAGTATGAAATTTCCATTCATGATTGTAAGGATTGAAAATATATATATTTAAAGCTTACTAAATGGTATGTTACATACCTAATACATGTTTAATGCAGAATTTATGATAAGGTCATATATTATAATCCTTCTCTGTCCCTCCATTCATGTGTTTGTCAGGTTCCTGAAGTTTTTGTATTTAGGTCAGTTAAGGGCCGAGCGTTGCAGCAAGGGTTACGAAAACTTCACATACTTGTGCTTTTCTATGAGTACAACATGTTGCACATTATTTGTGTAACTTTGACATCTGTGACCTGGCTTACATCCTGGTGGCTGGCAGTCTGATTTGAAACTCTGTTGTAATGGACAATTTATTTGATTTTTATATGGTGAACATTTACGACAAGTGTGAATACCTATTATTTCAGGCCCAAGATACCAACTGGAGCAACGAATTAAAACAAGCCGCTTTCAAGGCCTTTGCCTCATTAGGGGCCAATGATGAGGAAATCAGGAAAAAGGTAATATATATATTTTCATTAACTGTTAATGGAAATCCAAATGTTTAAAAAGTACCTGTGATGTCATTTTTGTTTCACTTGCAATTGTGATTACTTTGTCTATCATTTGTATGGGTGTTGTTACCGGCTCTGTCGTCAACATATACATATGTGTGTGCCTATAAAGTATCTTTGAATTATTTTCCATCAACTTGCCAATCGCTAGGGTATACTTTCTACCAAAGTCCCTTGGTCATGTTCGAGACACTCAGTCATGTTTATGATGCCACCCTTTTACTACCAGTTCAAACAGTATAAGTACACAGAATAATCTCTGCTCTATATATTTTTAACCAGGACTGATATATATATGTGCAGTAATTTGTATGACAGGTTCTTGGGAGAGAATCGGATGTTCTGCTATACAGCACTAAGATGTATTCAAATATAGGGAACATTTATAAACTATAACATATCATTGAGACATTGAAATTGAGGAAATGCTTTATTGTCATAAGATATATATGCAATAATGTCAATTTGTCCTGTAGATAATTGAGACAGAGAACCTGATGGACCACATTATAGTGGGCGTGAGTAGCGAGGACATGAAGGTGAAGGGTGCAGCCATCCGTTGTCTACACAGCATGTCGCGGTCAGTCCAGCAGCTTCGTACAACCTTCCAGGACCACTCAGTGTGGAAACCCCTCATGTCGGTACGTCTGTTTGTCTTCTTGATTTTCACCTTTTAGTGTGGCAGCCTCATATCTATCTTTCTATCTACCGAGCGGGATACAGGTCGATGGATACACCAAATTTCACATTACATTTTTTTTTATAAAAACCAGAAAATTTAACTCTGAGTCAGAAATCTTCCCTAACTTATACTTTTTTGAGATTATTGAACGCTTCATCTAATACATGTACTGCATTTCATACCGAGGAATGATTGTTTTATTTTTATGGGAAAAGAAACTCAGATAGTTGTAAAAGTTGATAACCTGATCTGGTGTAAATAATATCTACAGTGTTGCTTACTTATCCTTGTGTCTGTGTAGGAGCAGTCTATATATAGCTTCTTTTGTTCATGGATTGTATGACAGTAAAAGCCTGTTTGTGTCTGTAGATCATGCAGCACTGCCCGGAACACCTGGTGGGTGTGGCCTCCTCAACAATGTGTAACCTTCTGCTCGAGTTCTCACCTGGCAAGGAAGTAAGTTTATATCATCTATAGTTATAATTATCATTCCAAATCCTCTACACACTCAGATAGAATTTCTTTTTTCTCATCTTTTACAGATTAGTTTCTCGTTTTAGTTGCAAAAGATTTCTCTGTCAACACTAGTTATTGAGTTTAGAAAAAACTACATACTCAGGTACGATGCATATCATGTCAGAACAAAAAAACCACCAAGATAATCCCAAAGTTTCAACAAAACCATACTTCAAACTCGAAATTGATAAAATTAGGGTAAAATATGAAAAAGGAAAGATTTACATTGAAACCATTGAAAAGGTACAAGGAGAATAAGACCAGGTGTTCCAGAAGGGTAGGCATCTTTTGCTTCACCGATGACATCCATTTGCCATAGAAATCTGCGTCAAATCCAAGTAGTGTCACATCCTCACATCAAGAACTTGGGTTGTGAAAATAGAACCGCAAGGCCTGAACATATAATTAAAAACATCAACCTTCATATCATATCAAGAAATAACATTTTTCCCTGCAAGTTCCTGATAGTGACCAAACAAATTGCTATCTATGCCAGCTATACCATCTATAATGTGATGTCATCTGCTCTGAAATGTGACATCAGTCTATTGTTTTTGTTGTGCACCAATACAACTATAACAGTAGATGATATAGATTTTCTCATACATTAAATTTGACAGACAAATTCCACATTGTAACCCTCGTGAGATTTATCTGGCTCACCCTGGGGTGGGATATATAAGCATGTGCTGTAGTGTCCCATTAAACACAATGAGGTATCTACTGTTGGATGTAGTATTTTAATAATGTGTTAGTGTTAGAAAAGAAATAAAACTCTTAACAGCTGGGACTGAGAAATATGAATCTTGAGGGATGAGATTAATAGAATCTTCCACTACCTTGAGGGTGTGACAGAGAAATCTTGAACCCCGAGGGGTGATGTTATTTGGTTGTCTTATCTGAGGCTTTGTTGAGGGTAAGACAACCTAAAAAATTACCCCAAGGGTTGGCGATTTCTCTGTTTCACCCTTAAGGTAGGGGATGATTATCTTTCTCCCATTCTATGATTACAGTCACAATTAACTCCACCAACTGTTGTCTGCCACACTTGTAAACCTAAACACATGTGGGGTATGTATCTCGTCATTCACTTTTGATGACGCCAATTACCAGTAACACATTTTATGATGTCACAATTGAACACGTGAAATAAATCAGCACGAGACTATCTCCCCCTAGGGGGTGGCAAGCTGATCTTTTCCGGCTTAAACGGGAGACATACGTGTGGAGGGTGAGAGATTTTTTTTTTTGTGAAGACAGGCAAACCTCATCTGATATTACAAGTAGTCATCTATTCTCTCCCCAAACTCTGAACACTCATGCCATCCAGCATCCACATGGATACAAGTATTTGGGTAGAAATGTTTCTCTCATATTGAAAAAGAATATAAGAGAAGAAATGTTGATAGACACATCCACACAAACACCAATAATATAACCAAACTTAATAACATATAACTATGGTTTATTTTGTATATAAAATGTTGTGAGTTCCTTTTATCCCTCAACCCTTAAAGGATATATATTATAGATGTGTTTCTGACTGAACTGATCTGAAGTATATAATAGATGCGTTTCTGACTGAACTGATCTGATATTTCAGTCCATACTAGAGTCTGGAGCTATTGACATCCTAGTGGGACTTACTTCCCGAGTGGAGCCGGAGCTACGCCTCAACGGAATCTGGGGACTCATGGTAAACACACTGTCATAATGTCATTATAGAGTTATCATGTAAACCATAGTGTAGCTTATACATTGAGAATCAAGTAAAAAGCAAGTAAATATTCTTTAGTAAAGGACTGATGTACAGTAGCATTAGTGTTTGTTGTAATCTTGAAGAGTCTTAGACTGGTGTCTAAATTTGTAGAAATCTGTTGTTGTCATCTCGAAAGACAGATTTTTTTTTGTAAATGAAAGATACATATGTTCCATATGAAACACCTATGAGTAATAAATAAAATCTATTACCTGTAACTAAGGGAGATCAGGTTATCTCAGTCGAGGGCTAGGATTCTGTGACATAATCCCAGCCGAGGTTGGGATGTTATAGAATCTTAGCCCTAGACTGAGATAGTTAACCCAATCTCACCCAGTTGCAGGTAAAAATAAGAAATCCTGCAATTTTTTTAGCTCGAAAAAATATTCAATTTTGCTTAAGTCTATAAGTATCCCGTCTGGGGCCTCAAATAAAAATGCTGTATTCACTACTAAAGCTACGTTTGAATGCTTCCACGTAAAAATGTAGTCCGTCCTTGCATAGTTTGTTTATATGTTATCTAGAGATTTTGCTACATTTAGTGTTGTCATTGCCCTGTTCTGCTAAAATTGTGGTTATGAGGTGAGAGAAAAAGAGTCAATCATTATGTAGGTACGTGTATGTGAGACATAGATATTCTACCCTTAGGTGCAGAACTTGAAGTCAGAACCTCGACAGAGCTTTTGTTCTGACCCTAATTCTACATCCTTGTCTCCACTACTGTCTAAATCTTTAGAAAACTCTGAGGTCTCAGACAGTTGAACATTTTGTTTTATATCCGTCAAATTTAATTTGTTACGCATACTATTCCGTCTTTTCGTATTGCAGAGTTATCGTCTCTTGTGAGCAGATATTGATTGTTACGTCATTGGTTTGTGTGAGAAAATTAAGTCGTTTTCTCAAAAATTGATGACATTACTCTCACAAACAAATGACGTAACAATCAATACCTGCTCCCAAGAGCAGATAACTCTGCAATACGAAAAGACGGAATAAGAAGCTACGTCAAGAGACAAAATTTCAAATAGCCTGAAATGTTTTATGACACATTGACTTACACTGACTTACACTGATAGCTGCCATGTGGGTTTAAATAAATTATTGACATCTTTTCCTAGGCCCCTATCATGTATCTGGTTCAACCGTTTTGTCTGTTTTCAGATTTATATTTTGGGATATAAATATGGTGGACCTGCAAATATTTATACAGGCCTTGCAAGACTTTGTCAAGGCTTGCCTGAAAGCAGCATCAGATTACCAGGTCCAACCTTATTGCATAAACAAACAACGCTGGGACAATTGGTTGGATTGTGATAAACGAAAGCGGCCCTGGTCATTCTTTTAGCCACCTTATGTTATCAATAGTTATATATTGGATTTTGTATCTTTATATAAACAGAACATGGCGTTCCAAGCTGAACACAAGGTGAAGACACAGATCATTGAGACGGTGGGAATAGAACAGTTGTTCAGGCTTCTGTCGGACCAAGATCCCAACATTCTAATGAAGACGCTGGGACTCATACGCAACCTCCTCTCAAATAAACCAGTAAGTTGGACAACATGGAGCACATATCTGATTTTTTAAAAAAAGCTTCAGAATTCCACAGCTTATTTCACAAAGCATGCAGAATTATCCGGCAGTAGAACGTCTGATCTTGATTCGTCCATATAGAAACCAAGGGATCAAAAACACGTTTAGCCCACAAACAGTTAAAGTTCAAAAGAACAGATAACCAGACAACATCAAATGAGAAGTCCCAGAAATTTTAATCCAATTTGCATATTTCGGCTCACTAGGTGGTCCATCAGCAGGTTTTCTTTCGACTTTTGATTACTCTCATGGCTGGACTAGTGAATTGTCTATAGGAATTCATTAACTGGGGTACACAGAACTTCATTGAACATACTACTAGTGGGCTTTTAATCTCATTAAGTCCCCCAAAAGAAGGGGAATTATTGGTTTTACTACGTTTCATATATTCTTCTTCTTCTTCCACCATAAAACTTTGTCCGACACATTTCTCAGAAATTATTGGACGGAAATTAATTAAACTTTACACAAGTGTTCATCAGGGTAAGGGTGTGTGCAAATGACCTTTCAACTTCCGATAGGTCAACCAATTCAAGATGGCCACCAAGGCCTCTGATTGGTCGAAATTAGATATTGGTTGATTTTGCTGAAATTTTGTATGTAGGTGTATTTTTGCATCTTTGTGACTATGGGGGCAGTTTGGGGGACTTCTGTAATGGTCCCCAATTACATTTAGTACTTGTTCTTCCTTGCATTAGACAGTTTGGGTGTAGATATATACACTAATAGAGCCCAGAAAGAATACTGAATGTTTATACTTGCAGCATATAGACAGTTTAATGAGTGTGTACGGTAACCAGATCATGCAGGCAGCCGTCTTTATACTGGAAGGGGATCACACTGCAGATATCAAAGAACAGGTAAGTTGTTTGCAAAAACTAAGTTACTTTTAATTCATATTCTGGCCAAGATGACCATTCTATGAATAGTATTACTTGTATTTTATATTATAACATTTGAAAAACAAATCTATCAATCTTTCTGTTTAGGTCAGGACAAGCTTATTATATGAATCCTAGAGTAGTGTTAATTATATTAACATATTATGAATTATATTAACATATTATAAACAAGTATTTAGTGGCTCTTATAATACAGGTGTACACCTTGTTTAATATAAATTGTAAAGTAATTTATTTAATGAAAGTGTTAGAGCAAATATATTATGATATTTAGACGTCATCATTGTTCCATGCCACCCCATAGCAACTCTCAAACCCCCATTATGATATCAGGCAGCTGAGGGCCCATATAGGTCTAGGGTTGATATGGGCAAACATAATGGAAATTACCATATTAATGATAACGTTTTTATCATATAGTTAATAACTTGTCAAAGGTTTTAAGCATTGTCAGAATGCGCAACAATACAGGAAAAAGAGTGTGAGTGTAGATTATATATTAGGTGTGACTGGTAGTATCACATAAAATGGCCCATCTTAATTACTGATAGTAAATGATTAAGTTGTATTTGACAGAGAATAATATGGTGACGTTATAATTTCATATTAAATATTATATTGAAAAGTTCATCTGTATTTTCCAGACCCTGTGCATTCTAACAAATGTTGCTGACGGTGACCAAGCCAGGGACTACATCATTGGGAATGAGGATGTCCTTAAGAAACTTACTACATACATGGTAAATAAACTCAGAAAAGGCAACAAAAAGTATACAAGATCCAGATATCTCCAAAACTCATCGCTAATGTTTATTAACAGAATTGATATGTTTATGTTAGACAGAGATTTTAAATTGGTATCTCTATAGTACCTTTGGGAAAAAATATGATGTGCTGACACAAAACCAGAAATGAACTGCAAATTCATGACTCATAGCTATAGCTTGATTTTTTTCTAATTAGGTGGACCATTTTGTCTGTCAGTCCTTCATGTAAGATATTATTAAATACAAATGTGGGTAGTCTTATATTGTGCTCCACTGCAATTTCATAAATTTGCTGATCTGCATGATAAGATCAGGTGGTTTCTATAGGAGAAATAAATTAAATAACTTTTTGCTGATCTGCATAATAAGATCAGGTGGTTTCTCCAGGAGAAAGAAATTACATACCTTTTGTATGGTATGTTAATCAATCAGCTATATGATGTGTAATTATGATTTTAGCGCTTCCATTTTTTGTGACCTTTTATTTCTTCACAAAACCTTATTTTATTTCTAGGTCCATACCAATGTGAAACTCCAAATAGCAGCAACCACATGTATATCTAACCTTGTGTGGAATGAAGAGGAAGGTAGGTGTGGGGGTACATACGTAAAATGTTAAATATTTTCTTCTCAAACCAATATCCTCTTAATTAGTGCAATTCATATTAATATATTGTTAATTTCATTAAGAAATCTTATTTTGAATAATATTCTTTAATGTTATGAGAAATTGAGTGTTTCCTTCCAGGTTAGTTAACCCCTTCACCACTGTAGACCATAATGTACTCATCCAGATCAATGCATGGTAGAGTCTAGTGAAGTTACATAGGGGTGCAAGGGTTAAGATACAGTGGAACAGTTCATTGTATTATTTTGGAACCATATATGTTTGTCTGTTATTTTTCCAGTTAAGGGTGATTTTTTATTTTGAAAAAATCATGATCGATTGTTTTTTCAGAAATACCAGAATCTATTTCTTTTTGCTATGTATTTTTTTTTCTCTTTTGCTTTTGACTCATTCACCCCTGAAATTTATAATGAACTATTCCAACCTTTAAATTGGAAGAGTTCAAATGTGTCTCCAGGGTTTGATGAGTTAAAGGTTGTTATGTTCTTTTATTACAGTGCATACAGATTTATTGTCCAATTCAGACAGTGTATCGAGTAAGTAGCCAGACAAATGTTTTTTGTGACCTGAAACACTGGAACTCAATCATGTTATATATATCCTGTGATCTAACAGTGATCTACTTCATACGAATACATGGCCTCTGTGTACGTAGCTGCTGTTGTGTATATTTCAGGTGCCTACAAACGTCAACAGAAGCTCCGAGATCTTGGTGTTCTGAAATTATTACAACAACTCCTCAACACACCTGACGCAACACTTTTTGAAAAGTATGTATCACTGAAACATCAACTTCGAGATAAAAAGAAGATTCATTTTTACTGAAGTAAATATGTATTACATTAACGTTAAAGTAGATGGGAATGATACCTTCACTTTTAAATTTATTTATTTTCCAATATTTTTCAAATTGAATTTAACAATTATTGCCCTGGCTGCTTATGTGTACCATCCAATCATCCTAGGTCCTCCAGAGTTTATGCTCACTTACATGCTCTGCACAGATTGCAACCACTGGAGTAGCAAGGAGGTCATCCAATTGAACCAGAGTTGTACATTTATAAAAGAGAAATTGACTTACTGACCTTACTATAGTCTGAGGCTGTTTTTTGGCAAGACAGGCAAAGATATTCAAAGCCTGCATTATCCTTTTATGTGTCCTTGAAAAGGGTTTTTGTTAATCTATTTTGAGAAGTTCTGTTTGCATTAGACCTTTGATTTATAAGTGACTGGCGTAGACTTTTACACTGACCAATGACAGAGTACTTGTTTTCATTTAACTCATTCACCCCTGAAGACTCATTTGAACTCTTCCAAATTAGAGGTTGGAATAGTTCATTATTAAGTTCCAGGGGTGAATGAGTAAATAAAACCTTGGTATAGCGTCCCTCATTTTCATTTACTACCAAGCTTGCTTCATAATTCTAATTTTCTCTTTATATATAGTGGCAATAAAAGGTTTTATTAGCTCGTCCGGCGTACGGCATCAATATTTTACTTTAAACAACTTCTTCTTAATAACCATAAGGCCTAGCATGTTGACATCTGGTCAGAAGCATGCTAGGATCAAGGGCTACCAAGTTTGTTAAAGTGAACGACCTTGACTTATATTCAAGGATGCATGGGTCAAATTTGTTTAAAATCTAAAGGACTTCTTCTGAATAACCATGAGGCCCAAAATGTTGATATTTGGCCAGTAGCATGCTTGGATGAAGGGCTATCAAGCTTCTTCATTTGAATGACCTTGACCCACTTTCAATGTCACATTTGGTCAAATATGTATAAACATTTAAATGACCTAATTTCAATATACAAAAGAATAGTGTGTTGCTATTTTGATATCTGGTCAGAAGCATGCTAGGATCAAGGGCTACCAAGTTTGTTAAAGTGAACGACCTTGACTTATATTCAAGGTCGCATGGGTCAAATTTGTTTAAAATCTTAAGGATTTTTTTCTGAATAACCATGAGGTCCAAAATGTTGATATTTGGCCAGTAGCATGCTTGGATGAAGGGCTATCAAGCTTCTTCATTTGAATGACCTTGACCCACTTTCAATGTCATGTTTGGTCAAATATGTATAAAAATTTAAATGACCTAATTTCAATATATAAAAGGATAGTGTGGTGCTATTTTGCAATTTGCATCCCAAGATGGAGGGCTTTAAAATATGTTCAACATAATGACCTTGTTCAACTTTCAAGGTGACAGGGTGAAATGTTTTTAAATCTTTTAACATGTCTTTTGAATGACTTCTAATCATAAATACTGATATATTGCCTGTAGCTTTATTTTAGATCACTTTTAAGGTTGCAAGTGTGATATTTATACCAGGTGAGCGATGCAGGCCCATTATGCCTCTTGTTGTATTCACACTGATTCGACTGACCAGAATTCAAGTAAAAATATCCATGCCTGAACAGAATATTCTTAGCAAATAAGAACTTATTACTTTGTCTTTTTAATTTCAGAGTTAAAACAACGCTACACCAGTTCACATGACTAGGGCTCAGCGTGTATGAGGAGGTCTACATCTGAGTACCGGAGTTATTACAATTAAATACAACAGTGACAAATGTAGTGTTAATTCACTAAAAGTGTCAATAAGTATGATAACAGAAATTGTACTACACTTTGCTAGACATAAGCTTGGAATTACATTGTACATTTTGAAAGAATAGCTTTATAAAAGAAGTGCTAATTTAAATTTATGTGTACAAATTGCTACTGGAAAATGTGATCTTCAGATAAAATCTGTAATCTGTAAATTTTTATATTAGAATTCTGTGGATGTTTTTAACGACCTGCCAAATTGACACGGTATGCTTTCTGTTGTCACTGTGGTTTATTAACACTAACTATCTGTATAACTGTACATTTTACATTTATGAAGTACTACTACATATCTTTGTACTAAGACCACAGCTGTTAAATCGGCTTAATTAAGAAATTTTGTTGTGACTTTAAATTGTACAAAATCAAGTGTTTCATCAATAATAAATGATTTTAACAAGCTAATTGATTAAATGAATTACTTTCAGAAAAAACAGTTATAGACCTTAAATATATTTATATATATAGAAGGTGAAAGTTGAATTTTTTTTTTCAATACACAAGTCATAGATTTAAACACAAGATTGTACATATAAAAGTTTGATTGTACATTGTAATAATATTTTATTTATTTTTCCCAATTTAGCCCCTGATGGGAGAATGTATTTGATTTTTAGGAAGGCTGTGCCATTCCCCTAGAATCTTTTAAAACCTTGCTTCTAATACAAACGTAAAAACATTTCCATACTAACAAGTGCTACATGATTATTATTCATGATTTTCCAATTATTTTATATTGTTATCTGTAAAATGATGGTCCGGTCTATTGTATTGACCTTTGTTAGGTACATATACTAACGAAGAAAACGTTATTGATAATTTGAGCTTACTTAGAACAAAGTACCTGAGCGTTTTTGCCAGGGCGCAGTGCTTGTTTGTCAAGTTTTAACAACATGATGCAATGTAGCTTGTTGCTGCAAGGAAGGGCTATCAAGTTTGTTCAAATAAATTATCTTAACCCACTTTTCAGTCACAGGAATCATAATTGTTAAAAATTGCTTTTTTTTTCTAGTTACATTTGTATCTAACCAGTGGCTAAGAGTAATAATACATTTATTTGACCTATAGATGTAAAGGGTTAGGACTTGAGGCAGTCAAATTTGTTGAAATGTAGGACTTTGATAATCATTCAAGTTGCAGAGATCAAATGCTTTAAAATCTGCAAATCAGATTTTTTTTCAATTTATCCTTTTTAATACTTTGAGAACTCCATTTGGTATTTGGTGTGTAGTTATACTGAGATGATTGGCCTAAAAACTTTTCAAATAAAGAATCTTGCTTGACCAACTTATAGGTCACAGGTTGAATGTGTTGAAAACTACATGATTTGTATATTCTTCTCAGAAATAATGATTTTGATATTTGCACTGTAGCTTGCAAATTTGCAAATACATCACCTGGTCATGATTCAAGCTCACAGGGATAAGAAAATATCATATTTGTATACAAAAATGTTAATAAAAAAAGATGAAATAAGAAAGATTGTATACAATTCTAATGGAATAAATACCAAATAATATCAATTCTGTATATTTAAAATTACTGTTAACAGAATCAGTGAGTTTTCATGGCAAGATTATTTTCTTGATATGACAGTCACAATATTTTATATATTGTGGGGGAAAAGTCATTGGATGGTTTTGAAACTTCGGTACGTTGTGTCAAAAAATGAGTAGTTATACGTACATAATCCAATCTAATGGATCTTATTGAAGATATTCATTGTGTACCTGTTTCTGGTACCTAAATGTACAAATTGTACCTTGTTGTTCATAGTTTCCACAAATCCTAAAGATCAGCCCCCTTTGACGTTTGTAAGCAACGTTATCTTGCTTTGTGTTATGAACTATAAAACGACAAAATCAAATATGAAGGGTAACAGTATCATCTTGTTCGGATACTTTTCAAAATCCCATCTTGACGAGTTTAAGGTTGTTACCAGGTATGACCTTCCATACATGGATATAGGATGAATCAAATTTAAAACTGTTTGTGCAAAGATTATAAGTTCAGACTTGAATGTTGGCTTACTCCAAGTGAAAAAACTTTTGAATATTTCAATATTATGATTATTTGGCTTTATAGTTAGTTTAACTTGGGCCTGGATATCACGAAACTGTCTTTACTTTGTTATTTTTTTGTGTTGTCTTATATATTGATCCTGAATAAAATATTCTAAATGTGAAATGTGTATGTGTTGACATGATTTAGAATTACATACAGCACGTCATTTAAACAATAAACTGTATAGATATAAATATAAACTTTAACAACAATTATGAAACAAGTTATTTCAATTTATATTAATCACTCTTGTTGGCTCGGATGTTAGCGCTTGGGGGGTCTTAGTGTGGGAGGAAACCGGAGTACCCGGAGAAACCCTACGTGTTCGGGAAGGTGACCCCAACTTTTCACGTCCAATCGGGGAATCGAACCCTGGCCGTCTTGGTGAAAGGCAAGTGCGCTATCATGGCCACTGCACCACCCGACCACCCTGTATAGATGTTGCAGACCTGTTAGTATATTACTGCCTCGGGTGTCGCAGACAAACCAAATTATTCAGCAACATGAACTTCCCTTGTTTAGTTTAGTTTAATTTTGGTTAACGTTCTATTAGCAGCTAAGTTCATTTAAGGATGTGCCTCCATGTGTGTATAGTGTATGCGTGCTTGCAGGTGCGTATATGCAGGAGACCGGGTATGTTGGGTGTGCTTGCCTCCTTGTGATACGCGGATCTGATGCAGACTCTATAGTGCTATCTCACCGAAATGCCATGCCGAAGGCACCTAGCACAGCATTCCACCCGGTCACATGATACATATAATGATATTTCTATCTTATCTTGATGCTGTGCATCTATAACATTTGAAAATTGTAGGATTAGTGTTATATGGATCCTGAAGTAGATTGATCCCTGATTTAAACTTACAATCCTAATACATTTTGTAATTGATAAATTCAGAATTTATGGTTAATTTTCCATGACCATGACAAACATCTTGTTTTAATCAGTGATACAAATTGTAAATTGTTGAGGTGAATATTATGTAGTTTTATAAACCTGAAAAAGTGATATTAACCTAGATGAAGCAGAGGTCAATACAGTATAACTTATTCAATGAAACAAAAGTCCTTATTTTTTTAAAAATTAAATATTAAAATCGTTTTTCATCATTAAACTAAATAGAAGATATAGAGTTGTGAGAAGAAAGGTACTGCATTAGACTGAGATTGTGATGTTAAAGTGACGTGATGAAGACAATATTAACCTGCTGTTTCTAAAAATAGTAACACAGAGTTAATACATGCATCACAAACCGTCGATCTCCTCAATGAGAAATTAGGAAGAATTTGTGTCATCTAATGTAATAAACATTACAGGCACTAAACATCTATTCTAGACCCAAAACAAGTGATGAACTACTTGTACAAGAATTTTGGAAAAATCAAGAGAAAGTTGTAAGAACTTTGGTGGATTGGTCGAGTGGTTAACACTCCGGCCTTCCACGTAGGCGGCCGGGGTTCGATCCCCGAAGTCGCCGTCTGCATGGAATATTAGAGAAAGTGTTTTTCTCCTGCCCACACAACTCCAACAACCCAGGTGGAGTATGAAATGGTCTGGGGTGGGTGTTGCGGTATCTGTGCTGTAGCATTCAAGTGAGGTGGCACTATAAATGATACCGTTGGAAGCACGGTCCCACTACAAACAACACAATACATCTCCAGCACACACACATAGGGAGATATTAGCCAGGTGGCATAGGACTAGTAGTTAGTGCCTGATAAGGCAGCTCCTGCGAATTCCTCAATATTTTATTGATTAATATATATATGCTAATTGCATTGACTGTATACAATTGTATATCTATGTACTGTAAAGCGCTTTAGAGTGGCTTATGTTAGCTAGATAGGGCGCTATATCAAATGTATATTTATTTATTTTATTTATTTTAAGAAAGGATGAGGTGTTGGTAAATTGTATGGAATATCTATAAAACACCTTGTAAGCTATAGGTTTTGCCTTTGATTACGTTCAATACATTGGACCCAAGTTTGCTATGTAACGTGCTTAGTAAACGGTCAACAGTCTAACTACTGACCTTGCTCAACATTCCTAGAAAAGCTAGCTTTCCAGTAAGGCAGTATTTTCCCTTAAATTCCTTAGCTGTTACAGCTGCTGGTAGCAGTTTGTATATTAGCTGCGGGAACTGTAGCTTCTATGTCCGATTTTTTTTTTTTTTTTTTATTGGTATCACACCCGATAACAATGATAGCTTCAGTAATTTTGAATGGATTCATATCAAACTTTATAGGAAGGTTCATTGCTATGAAAGCTCAGACAAGTTTGATAACCAAAATTATTCGCTGGCTATTTACAGAGTTATGGCCCTTTGTAGAATTGCCGAAAGTTTCCGCTCAATAACTCAAGTAATTTTGAATGGATTAATTTCAAACTTCATAGGAAAGTTCATTGCCATGAAAGCTAGGACAAGTTTGATAACCAAAATTATTTGCTGCTTATTTATGCAGTTATGGCCCTTTGTAGAATTGTCAAAACAGTTTCCGCTCAATAGCTTCAGTAATTTTGAATGGATTAATTTCAAACTTGGTAGGAAGGTTTATTTCTATGAAAGCTTGCGATAACCAAAACTATTTGCCGATTATTTACGGAGTTATGGCCCTTTGAAGAATTGCCGCAACAGTTTCCGCTCAATAACTTGAGTAATTTTGAATGGATTAATTTCAAACTTGGTAGGAAGGTTCATTGCCATGAAAGCTTGGACAGGCTTGATAACCAAAATTATTTGCTGCTTATTTATGCAGTTATGACCCTTTGTAAATTTGACGCTTTTCTTTCCAAAATTTATGCACTTATGGTCCTTTGTGGCAAACTGCTCATTCTACATACGACGGGCGTATCGTACCGTCTCGCGGAACTCTTGTTTCTCATTGAAATGAAAAAGCCCAAGTACACTTTACTTTTTAGAACAGCCTGCACATTGTGTATCAATTTGAAGATCTTGTAGTAATCTCTTTAAAACAAAACACATTTTATGGTGATAATTTTTTAATAGAAAATAAATCTCAATTTCTTCACCAAGTATATTGAAAATACATATATGAAACAAACAAGAGGCCCATGGGCCTTAACGGTCACCTGAGTCCAACAGTATTTATTTTTGTTGTTAAAATATATACCAATTTGAGTAAAAAAATGTTAAGTATAACGTTAACTTAAGTTTTTCAGGACCATGAGCTGATCATTCCTAGACCAATTTTCAGTTAGATCGGCCTATTAGAACTTGTTTTTAAGTTTGAAATAGGTATTTTCAAAATAGCGACCATGTGAATCTCGGTTCCCCAGGGAAGCTTAACTCTTCATTTCTACAAAGGTTTATTCCCAGGTTCAAAGGACCAAATGATGATTTATTGCATAATTTGGGTGAGATCCATATATGTGTGTAAATTGTCATAAATTGAGGATATTAATCAATTCCATGTTTTCACCCTTAGATTTAGTCCCCAGAGGTATTATAGCATGAGTGTATACCTATATTCAAGCCCAGCAATTATACTGATGAGCTGGGAATTTCAACTGTTCGTCTTTCCATGCATTACTATTGTACATAGCCAGTAAATGGTCACGAGGTGGAGATCCTTCACTCCTATGTTATAATTCAGGGATTACGTCTCCAGGGACAGGGCCAGACCATTGAGTTAATCCTGGTAGCATGAGTATATTTGTCTTTTCATTATAGGCAAGCGACTATGTATGGTAAACATGTTGGGATCTCAACCATTTCTATGTTCTTACTCGGGGACTAAGACCTTAAGGGTGAAGCTGGTCCCTTGCACAAAAGTGGTAGCATCAATGTATTTTTCTCATAATGACTAGCAATTGTATGCTTAGTTATATGGTGAGGAATAATCATTTCTTCATTTTCTCATCATGACTAGAAGGAACCAAGTCCCCCGTGGCATGACCAGGTCCTTTGATCTATGCTGGTTGCATAAGTGTATTTTCATGCCATCAAGTTCCTAGCAATTATATAAATACAATGTATAATTATATGATGCCTATCTCCGATGTCATATAGCTTGGGACCTAAATCCCTGGGCATTGCCAAAATGTTAGTTGTTGGCCTATGGGATGGATATCTGTACCATTTCCATCTGATGAAATCAAGACTGGTAATTAGATTGTTTTTAGTCATTACAAATGTGCATGCAGCATTCCTTTGCTCGATCTAGACCAAATTTGGTTGAAATCATTTTACCTAGTATATAAAAAGAAGCATTTTGAAAAGCAAAGGGGATATCATATTTAGTCTATATAATTAATAAAGATGTTCTGGACTAGTAACTCTTTATTGATGACGGAGACCACGCCACAGCTCACTTATACAAGCTTGCCTGCCTTTTGTTAAGATGCTTAAACGAACATAATTGACAAACACAAAATTAATACACAACATAGGAAGATATCGTCTTTTTTTAACATCATCTAGCTGTAACATAAAACACAAGTTTGCCTTGTCAGACATGTTAATGATAGGTGTTTTAGTGAATTATTATACGTATCAATTATTTTCAAATTACATCATATGCTGCTCAATGTTATATGTACACTGTTAAAATACCGGGACCAAATTAAATTGTAAATATATATCACAAAAAACATACTTAAAAAATTATTTTCAGATTCTGATTAACTTCTTACTTTCAGCCTAGCATATAAAACATATAGACATGAAAATATACACATACATCTTGTGATCAGCTTTAAAAATAGACTGTAATATGACATGGTAAATACACGGACAAACTGAATTTTACTTCTACAATTCGTTGTATGTTCAAAAACACGAGACAATCACAAAGTGAGTTGTGTTACGTCGGACAAGATTTACACAACCATATATATATTAACGAGTAATTATAATACACATGTATAAAACATAAAATAAAACAGGAATATTTATTTATGCTGCCTCAACCACAATTGTGTTAATAAATAATATAATCGATTAATTTAAGAAATGTAACAACTTAGTGACTTAGTTCTAAGTCTGTGACATCTTAGTGACTTAAGTCTGTGACAACTTAATGACTTCAGTCTGTGGCAACTTAGTTCTAAGTCTGTGACAACTTAGTGACTTAGTTCTAAGTCTGGTACAACTTAGTGA